TCCGACAACACGCACCCATGGCTATGGGCATGGGTGCGTGTTGATCGTCCGTCATTTGAAGGGGGCCCAGATGCCGCCCCGCACCGCCCCCGCCAGGCCACCACGACGACCCGACGGCAGGCGGGGCCCACCGCGCGCCTCCGCCGCCGGGCTGCGCGGCGACGCGGGGCGCGGCGCTGGCAGGCCCAGCTGCGTCACCTCCTCGGGAGGCCAGGGGATCACCCTCAGGATGACCACCTCCACAAGCGTGAGGACACCAAATCTCCGACATCTACTTGTAACAGATCGGGTTTCAAGGCAAACCTCGGGAAAGGCTCGGACAAAAAAACGATCGAATAACTGCACAATTGCATTACCACCTCTACAAGCGTCCTTGAGTGCGTTTGCCGAGGTGCTTCGCTTCAGCGAAACACCTCAAGCGAAACAAAACGCTTCCAGGGAAGACATCGATCAAGGCAGGACTGCTCAGTAAACGCCCAAGACACCGCTTGGTCGACGACATCTGTGGGGGTCGGGGCGTTATTGTGCTTTGTCCCCGCGTGACTCCTCGCGCAGCCGCGAGATCTGCAGCCGCGCGCTGCGGAGAAGGTCGTCCGCGCCGCCCGCGGAGGCCATCGCGCGCGCGGCTGCGAGGCGGGGGTCTATCCGTGGCCACCGCCTGGGGGGATCGACCTTCGGGGACCGCGGCAGGCAGTGGGTATGAACATGCCTGGCCCCCCCTCCAAGGTCAGCATGCCGAGGTCCCCGAGATCGGTCCCCCAGGCGATGGTTTCGGCAGGCTCGTGTCGTAGAGGCTCGCGCGCTGGTGTCCAACACCGCGCGGATCGCTCAACCTTGAGCGACCGCGGCTTTCCGACGACGCAGGTCGCTCGACATCGGCCGACTGCGGGCCCCTGGCGGCGTTCAACCTCGAACACCAACGCTGGGGCCGCCGTCGCGTCTGACGACACGAACCTGTGGTCAACGTCATGGCAGCGAGCGGGCGAGCCAGCAAGAACACACTTACGCAAATACTGCGCACCTCTCGACACAGGACCGCTTCCCCGAGTTCCGTTTCCCCTGTCCCATTTCCCTGGGGACCGCTTCGTCAGAGTTCCGTTTCCCCGGGGCCCGCTTCCCCAGAGTCATCTGTGGAACCACTTTTCTGTGGAACCGGTCCTCCAATTGTCGTCATCACCAGTATCAGATTCATCATGATCGTCATCATCACCGCCATCAATCACAGTATCGTCATCATCATCATCATCATCAGCAGCAGCAGCAGCAGCATCAGCATCAGCATCAGCATCATCAGCATCATCATCATCATCACCATCATCATTGCCATCGTCAAAATCGTGCCTCTCCGTTCCGCATGTCATCGGCACACCCCTGACACGTTTCGTGGCCCAATATGGAGCTCCACCGAAGGCCCCAGTGGCAAGATTTCGCATGCGCCTCCACCCCCCATCTCGGCGAACCCCTGACACGTTTCGTGGCCCCATATGGAGCTCCACTGGAAGCCCCAGCGGCATGGTCCGCATGCGGTTACTTACATGCGACTGCCCGCTTGATTTCGGCGCACCCCTCAAACAGTCTGTGGCCCCATGGGGGGCTCCACCGAAGGCCCCAAACACAAGTCCCGCATGCGGTTCCACCCCTCGCCCCGGCACTGACTTTTTGACGCTTCGAACCCTCATAGGCAGTTCCCCCCCCAACCTCGGCGCACCCCTCACACGCTTCGTGGCCCCATGGGGAGCTCAGCCGAAGACCCCAGCGGCAACGTTCCGCATGCGTTTTCACCCCTAATTCTGACGCACCCCTCACACGCTTCGTAGCCCCATCGGGAGCTCAACCGAAGGCCCCCATGGCATGGTATGCGTGCGGTTCAACCCCCATTTCGGCGCACACCACACACGTTGCGTGGCAACACAAGGAGCTTCGCCGAAGGCCACCGTGGCAGGGTCCACATGCGGTTCCACCCCCCATGTCGACACGCCCCTCACACGTTTCGGGGCCCATGCGTCCCGCACGCGTTTTGTGGCCCCACAGGAAACTCCACCGAACGGCCCAATGGTACAATTCACATGCGCCCCCTACCACCACCATTGCGGCACACCTCTCGCGCGCTTCGTGGCCACATAGGGAGCCCATCGAAAGCGGCAACCACAACGCGGCAATCACACTTGCATGTGTCTGGGCCTCTCGCCAAGATAGGTTCAATAAGGCCAACTGCGTCGAAAAGTCGCAGGCAAAATACAAGCCAGAGCACTGGGACGGCACAGCGCCCGCGAGGCTCCACCAGTGACACTCAGACTATTTACGCACCGCTCGTGTCACGCGACCCGCTGGCCGAAGAAGATATGTAGGATATTATTGACGAGAATACATGTTTGCCTGTAGCGGGCCCTGAATTTAGCAGGTCGCGAGAAGACGGAGACTAGGAAGAGGAAGACATGGTGAACGGATGAGGAGGAGGAGGAGGAGGAGGAAAGAGGAGGAGGAGAGGAGGAGGAGGAGGAAGGGGAGGATGAGGAGAAGGCTGAAATTTGCCGAAATAGGAAATTGAACGAAGCTCCCTCGCGCCCAACGCAACGTAGTTGCAAGGTACAACGAGGAAGGGTCCATGTCCTGTGCGCCTGCAAAAAGTTTGTCACCTTACTGCGTTCCGAGCGGCACTGGAGTTCTGCTTCTCTCGGATCTTAGAAACCGTGGGTGGCCATCAAAACCAACCCGCCTCACACCAGCATGGACCTGGGTGGCGGGCTTCCGCCACCCGCCGCCTAAATTGGCCCAGAGATTGTGCATGCAGGTGGCGACCGCAACATTAATGTTTCTGAACTGTCTTCGGAGTCTCCTCGCAAACCACTCGAGGCGACGCCGCGTCGAGGGCCTGCGCTTCGCCATGCAATCAAACCCGATTGTCTACGCACCCTTCAGGCTCGAGATCACCTGAATGGTCCTGGTCCACAAGCAATAATGTCTGACCAGCGCTCGCAACGTCGACGCCCTGGGTCAGCAGGGGAACACCCTGTCGTCACGCATGGTATCGCGCAGCTCCTGCCAGGATGCCTTGTCCGACCTGTCCCCGTCAGCCTCGTTGTACTATTGGACTATCTGCTTGACCACATATTGCCTCTTGTGATGGGTGCGTTCGGCGACCAACTCCTTGTTCGACTGGGCTGGCTCGATGGCGGTTGTGACGAACACTCCGTTCAGTATGTTCAAGACGCGATGGTGAAGGTGAGTGGAGTAGCCGTAACTCCACCGCACTTGAAACTCAACTATGTTGAGCATTTGAAGAGGTTCTGCCTGAAGAATCCCGATCCCCAACTCGCAAGCCGCAGCCATCATCTCAGAACGTTTGGTTCTGCGAGATGCCGAAGGTGGCCCGACCCAACTTCGCAGTGACTCGTGGGACCGACGTCCAAAAATTAGCGGGGAGGCCCCGCGATCGTGCAATGTTGGAACGTAGAATGCGGTATTCGGTGCAATCCGAGAATAAATGTCTACAGCTCGGCCACGGCGCCCCGCAGCGTGAGCAGGGCCGCCCCGTCTGCCGCCTTGTCTCCGACGAAACAGCGCCAGCCATGAAGATCCTAAGGGGCTTCTTGTCGGCGACGGAAAGCATGTCTACAAAGAGCTTGAAAAGGCCTGAACGCAATCGCCTCCACGTCGACTTCGTCGATCGCCTCGGACCCCCCATCTTGTCTGACATACCATCTGCAGGCACCCGCGAGGCATATTGCTCGAAGGATGTGTTGCACCCGCTTGGCGTAACGTTTTTCGCTGGGAAGATGTGCCCAGAAATGGCCTGGCGCATCTGCCAGTCCATCAACCAACCGGTGTACACGATGATCGTCACCCCCTGAAACCTGAAGGAGGCACCCTCGATTTGCTGAAAGACGAACGACGCTGAGGCCGATGCTCTGCCCATGGTTCACCAGGAACGCGTCGACGAACTGAGACCACGCTAACTTATCGTGCCTTGCTGCTTTGAAGGCCTGCAGAGCGGCCGAAAAAGTGGGATGGTAGCAAACCCTCGTACACCACCAGCGACCATGACACCACCACTTGGCACCGTCCGTTGGAATGCCATACGCAGCTGTTTCGCCACATCGGCGGGACAAAACGTCAGCAAGTGGAAACACCAGATCCATTGATGTCGGATGTAGGACATTGCCGAAAGTTCGCGAACTTCCGATGATCCTGGAATGGGGCCCATTCTATTGATAGCCGTGTAGACCTTCTCTCATCCACCTCGTAGGCGTAAAAGGGGAAGTCAAGGCCTGTCGGACGCGCCACATTTCCCAAGTGTTCGGCCAACTTGGGGGGGTCATCGTCAGTTGTCCACGTTTATATTTTGCCTTTATCCTCGACGAACCCAGCCTCACGATCGAAGGACGCCGTATATAGAAAATCATCATGTCGGAGGTCGCTGCTGGCGGCGGTCATGGGGCGGTCGTCCATGTAGGCCTGTCCGAAGACAGGCTGCCAGGGCGTCAGGCTCAGGACCATCGCCCCAGGCGCAATGCTGTCTCCTTGAGGCAGCCCGCGTTGTGGTCGGATGGGTGGTACAATCGCACCTGATACCCTGCAATGCCGGGGGCCCTCCCAAGCAGCCAGCGAAGTGAACGCGACCGAGTCGGGCGCGTCTGCTGCTCGTAGTGCTGCATCCCCAACCTGATGATCAAAATTGCCGCTTGTTTTTTTCGTAAGGTCCAGCTCAGCTCCTGCATCGGCCTGGCTCGCCTGTTCCAGCCAGGCGGAGATCGCATGGACACAAGAGACGCCTCGTTTTCCAGCGCACTGGTTGCCAGGCCCGTCAGGTCGACCTGCCGAGAAGGCCGCCAACCAGCAGCGGAATAGAACACTTCCAACGCTGATTAGGCGTGCGTCACATTTCCTTTTTCGGGATTCCCACGACCCTCCAAGGGAAAACAATGTCGAGCACGTCTAGGTCGAACTGGCCACGCTGTATGGTCAAAACGCCGAGGGCAGCAAACATGATTTTTGCGACTAAACACCACTTGTACAACGTCCCGAGTTCTACCAAGTGAACTGTCACGTCCTCCCAGTGATTCTAGCAGTGATGCATAAGCGCGCCTGCGCTCCCAACAACATTGCACATCATAGTTTTGAAGACGCGAAGCCTCAGAGACTTCGATGCCTTCAAACTTCGAACCAATCGTGCCCAGGCGCAAACACTTGAAGAAATTGATGGAGAAGTTTGGCGGCGCTTTGGCTATGTCAGAGGCGAGTACTATGAGCGCAGCGACCAGCGTCAAGCAATCGAAATAGTCTTACGACCTCTTACCCCCTGTGAAAAATAGCCTGGCGAAGGACCCAACCATATGCAGTTGTGAATGGCGCAATTGTGAATACCATCTTCGCCCGCGCTCCCTATGTGGCCACGGCTTCCCGCCGGAGCCCGACATGCTCAGAAACACGCTCGTGGCCGTCTTCGCGGGCGCCGACGACGACAAGGACGGCGTCCCCCTGACCGAGGAGCAGAAGCAGGAGAGGGCTTTGAGAGCCATGAGGGAGGAGGTGGCGTTGCATGTCGACAAGGCGGAATACGACGCCCAGGCGCGGCTGTTGAAGCAGCACAGCTATGGGGCCACGATCCTCGTGAG